ATTTATATGTATATGTCTTACCAACCTAAAGTAATCAATTTAATTTCAAAAAGGACAAGTGTGTGTAAGAAAATATGATTAGCATCTTTGAGAGTTACAGAAGAACTTTAGAAGTTTATAATATGATCAAGCACAGAGAGTCGCAAGTAATTCTGATGACAGAAGAGATTTTTTGGCAGTTGGATTTCTGCATTTATATTTTCCTCTAAGAACCTTGGTGCCTGTCAGTGACATGTCTAAAAGGAAGAGCATAGTGGAAAGTAAAAGTGATATGCTGGGAACTTCAATTTTAATTTCCTTTTTAGAAGAAGGAAGTCTGTTGATGGTAGCACTATTTTAATTGCGTTGTACTGTAGTAGACAGTTTCCATTTAAGATTGTCAAGTTAGTTTTAAATAATTGTATAGTTTGAATGAAGTGTCTGTCTGTATTCAAACCAGGTTTTCTATAATCTAAATTTTAAATATAGATTTCTATATTCTAAATACAGATTTCGATATAATTGATCCTGATTAGTTGAGTTTGACTAAAAAGCTTGAAGGCCCTCTTAGACCCCTAAAATGTGCTCCAACAATATGCAACATATTCATAAAAAACATCTACGTGATTCCAAATTTAAAAGTAAAATGAGTCCTGCAGCTTGTCCAACTTATCTCTTTTATTGATTTATTTAATATATAATTTCATCTTAGATGTTATGATATACTCTTAACCATTACACTGTGCTGTAGCCTATGTAGTGCTTTTTCATCTTTTGTATTTTTATTTGAAGAAGTTTATGACAGATGTTTAATTTATTCTGAGGTTGAGATGGATACTATTTTCCTTATTTTGCAAGTGATAGTAATGAGGTACAAAATGTAGTGATTTGACTGTAAATGTGAAGATAGTTTCTGGTGAGTCTTAGTCTCACCAGTCGGCTTGGTCTCTTTTGAAGAAGTTTAGGTTATGTCAGTATAACTATGTTTTTTTGAACTCTATCAGCCTGAGTTTTGTATATCCTCTTAGACAAAGACAGCAGCCCTCAAAGATCAGAACTTGCTTATTGTGGGCATTAAAGAAGAGTGGGTTTTGTTTTTGTTTTTTATATTGGCAGGGAGGTCGAACTGGACTTCTAAATCCTTTTCTAACATTATGTTTTATGATTTGACACTTCTTGATTCAACAGTTAGTTTGAATGTGTCGTTCTCAGACTGTGAGTTATAATTGCCACAAATATAAGTCAAGTAAAAACTTTAGGTGATTTAGCCCATAAATATTTAGTAATCTCATTACATGCAGAATAACCTTTACCCCTAATGAGAATATTATTCAGTTATTCTGTTTCTTTTCTTTCTTTTTTTTAAAGATTTTATTGGGGAATTGGGGGAGGGGAACAGTGTTGGGGAATCAGGGAAGGGGAACAGACAAGTTGCTGTCCTGTTGTTCTTCAGTCTAGTTGTGGAGGACGTTGCTTCACTGGCCCATGTTGGTATTATCATTGCACTCTTCCTGGGTGAGGCAGATTGCTCGCTGGCCATTGGATGGCCGCTCACGGCCGCCGCTGCCAGCCAGCCCCACTGCAGCACCACTTCAGCCTATGCCGTCGCCGGTTACTCATGGCAGCCCACTGCTGGCCAGCCCACTGCAGCCTACGCCATCGCTGGCGACTCAGGGCAGCTCAGCTCCAGGTCAAGTTGTTGTTTACCATCTTAGCTGTAGAGGGCTTAGCATCACTGGCCCTCATGTGGGATCCAAACCGGGGCCCTGTTGCTCAGAGCCAGCACTCCCAAGCCAACTCTTAACCAACGCTCCATAAGGCTGGCTCATTCTGTGTTTCTTTTGAAGTATTTAGATTCCAGTTACATTTCTTGTTTGCTTTTTTTTATTATTATTTGAAAATAATTATCAGCAAAACTACCATTACCTCTAACTAGTGAGATATAATAAGGCCTTGACTATCAAAGGTTAGAGAAATAGTGTGGATAATTAAATAAATATTTCTTTCATTTTCTTGTAATGATGCTACTGTAACTATTTGAACAATGAAAGTGTAGCATTTTTATTAAATTGACCCTTTTAGACAAATATCCACTAGGGAAGCATCTCTTCTTAGGAAGTGTTGTTTCTTTGGTATGGGGATATGTTTGGAGAAGGCATAGTCCACGTTATTTTTTTATGCGAAATGAATTATATTACAGATTTCAGAAAGATAAACACCATTTTCTTGGCTGCTGGGATTAAATAGAATATATAATGATTCTTTATGAGAAATTGCCACCTAGGGACTTTCAGTCTCCTGATAGGTGAAATTTTTTTGTTTATCCAAAGGATCATAGGTTAAAAAAAGATTGAAAGACATTGTTTGAAAGTAGATTCAAGGAGGGCCGGCCGAGTGGCTCAGTTGGTTAAGAGCTCGCTCAAGAGTTTGAGCTCTGAGCAACAGCGGTTCGAGTCCAGCCTGAGCTGAGCAGCCGCTGAGCTGCCAACAGGTAGCAGGATGGCTCAGCTAAAAAAAAAAAAAAAAAAAAAAAAAAAAGTAGATTCAAGGACTGAATGGATATAATGGATATAGGGCTTAGGTTCTATAATTCGATGAAGTATTTGAATCCAATGATACCATATTGGATTTGTGATTTATTCATAAAACAGTTTTAGCTGCATATCATGATGCTATATACAATTTAAATAAAATGATTATTTTTATCTAGTATGATGCTAAGTATTTTTTTAACTTTCAAGTTTTTGAATGGATAAAGATTGTATAACAGTTTAATTGAAGTGCTTTTTATGTTTCAATAGTAGCTTCAAAATAATCTGTGCATATACTTTTTTTTTCTTTTTTGTTACTATGATTCACCTTGATATAATATGAAGTAAACAATAAGGATAATTTGAGTAATCGTGAGTTTTAAGACCATCCAATTATTTTTTTTCTAAAACAGCCTGACACTTGTAACAGTGGAATAATGTTTTAACACTTTTTGAGGATCACACCCAACTACATCTGTACTTATAAGCCTATTGATGGATAATTTAGTTTCAATTTATTATCATAATCAAGAATTGACATGTTTTACTTTTTGTGTTTGAAGCTTATGAGCTTTTGGTAGAAGGGAATCACTAATATTCAGGAAACAAAGTTGTTTATTTAGATTAATGTCTATCTTTAACTGAATACCCATTTTAATGCCAAAATCTTACAGAAAGTACATAGATGTAAGAATTAAAAACCACAAATATATCTTTTATATATCAGTAAAGGTCTTTAGTCAGGTACTTATTATAAATTAGTAATTATGTAATGCCTCATGCACCTCTGTATCGTCTCATGGTGAGTTCACAAGATGCCAATTAAATAAAATCATTTAATTTTGACATTTTGCATAAAACAACACAAATTTAAGAAATACCTAGTACAGTACACAAAAATAGATTGCTTAGAATTATCCATAATTTTTACCTTGTTTGATGTGTAAATCTGCTCTGTGGCATAGCTCCACCGCTTTAGCTAAAAAAGAATTGATCAGTTTTATATTCTAAGGTTATCCCATATATTTTCAAAACCTAGTAAACTTGTAGCCTGGAATTTCAAAATTTAGTCCTGATTATACTCGTATATTGTTAAATTTTAGCTCCTGAAGGAATTTTAATGATCATCAGTCTAAACTTTTCCTTTTAGACTAAAAAACCCCAAAAAACAGCTCTTGAAAGTTAAATTTACTTGTCATTGGCCTCATAGATAATGGTTGAATTGAGACTAGAATTTTAGAGGAATCCAATGTTGATTATTCTTTCTCATCTTCTAATAGTAACAGTTTACAATTATATTTTTCCTATTAAGTTAAAATGAAGCTCCATGATTAAAATTTTCATTATTTTATTTCAGTCTTATGCACAGACTTCCAAATAAATGGGTTGGTTTTTAGAAGAAAACTAAAAATTCTTTCAAGAAATTTTAAGTTTTTTAAATAAATTAAGGAGTAAGAGTAGTAAGCTTTCATTACAAGCTTACAAAAAATAAGTCATAATAGTTTAGTAGTTTTGACTTGACTTATCACTAGATATTAAATATATCAACATAATATGTTTATTGTTTTCCTCTGAAGGTTTCAAGTTAGATAACAATTACCAAAGGATAAGTTTGGATGTCTAACATATTAAAAGTGCAAAAATATTTCCAAAAAGTTATTTGGTAGATTTGTTACCATGAGCATATGAAAATTCCAATCTGTTTCTAAATTTGCTTCTGTTCCTATCAATCCATGAGGCTTTTATTAGCATAGATAGGTAACATGGATAATGCTCGAGTTACAGCCATTTAAGCAAGATCATCTGTTAGTATGGTAGGTAGAATATTGTTAAACTGAGAGCAGAAAAGTTAAAAGGAAAAAGGTATTGTTTATTTTTCATGTTTGTTAAATAAGTTTGAGGAGTTGAGTTCAGATGTGTGGTTATGGAGTAGATCATTTTAATACCAAAGAAAATAATCAGCTTCATGTTGAAATAGGAAATTAGAACAGTAGCCATTAGACAGCACCATTTTATTTTCCTATTCTAGGGTAAAACACTAAATAATGGAATAAAGTTTTATTTTCTCCCAGGTACCATGTGCCTTGTTATGTCAGATCTTAGATCTTTAGTACATAGGGAAGTAATAAATTAGTCATTTGTTTCCATTTGCCAGCCTTACTCTTATTTTTCTAAGTAAGGATTTTATTGTAGTGTTTGTACCTTGAACAGATAGACTGTCCTAGAGGTAGAAGAGATGGGCAAAAATGGAAGGGATTCATATGTAAGATGATTAGGCCTGAGCTTATAGAAAAAATTGTAAACTGAGTAAATGAGTTTTTTTGAGAGACTGAGGAGTTAAAAACAATTGAGTTAAAATTGGAATGAGAGTAAAATATAAATGTTTTATACTTGTAGGTATTTATAACCTCTAGTGGTATGTTTTCAATTATCAGTGGTAATTTTAATGGTTGTTATTTTTATTCTAATCTGTTAATTTTTTTCACTTAGGTGGTATCATGGAAAGCTTGATAGAACTATGGCAGAAGAGCGCCTCAGACAGGCCGGGAAATCTGGCAGTTACCTTATAAGAGAGAGTGATCGGAGGCCAGGGTCCTTTGTGCTTTCATTTCTTAGTCTGACAAATGTTGTCAACCATTTTAGGTAAGTCTTTATTCCTCTTATAAGGCTATACAGTATAGCTATTTTGCTGTACTATTCATAAAAATACCTGCTTTGATAAAGGTGAATGACTCACTGACATTTAAATAATGGAGAAAGAGATTTGTTTTCAATTAAATAATTTAATCAGAGACTTAGAGTAGATATTGAATATTTACATTTTGTTTTAAAACAGTATTATTATTATTTGGCGTTATTAGCTAATCCCAAATATAGTTATCACTCTTAAAGCGTAAAGTATAAATTCTTTACATTACAAGGAAACTTTGAGTGGTGAAATGGAAATACCGAGTAACAAAAAATACAGGAAACAGTTTTTAAGAGTCAAGGTGTGTGCCCTTTAATTCATTTTAACTTCACTGTTCTGAAACTCTTTGCAAACACTCATTTCAATTAAATGGGCATGTAGATTTTCAAGTACAAACATAAAAGTCTGTATGTATAAGTATATTTACATATTTTATTCAATTTCATTTTTAGGGGAGAGTTTGAAAAAACATCTAGTGTCTATAATGTTAACTGATAAAATGTTTGTATACCTTTGATATTTAGATTTTAAAGTAAATTTTAATAAGAGTACTATCATACCACATGCAGAATGTGAAGTTATTATTATACTCTATGTAAATGTTTCAAGAGATCCGTAAGCTACTTTTAGCCATAGAAAATTTATTAAAATTGCTAGTCATTCTTAAATATGGAAAATGAGAAAAGGTTTCTAGGGATGGATTCACAAATATTTTAATGACTTACGTAATTGAGGTTTATAAGTGTGATATGTTATATCAGTTACATACATATTTTTAAAAGAAATACCTCAAGTAATTAGTATAAGGTAAAGATATTAACAAGTAGTATTTTAATACAGGGATGTAGTTAAAAGAATATTGAAAATTATGTATTTATAATTTCTTTATGGAACTTGGTCTTCAAAATTGTCTCTAAAGGTTTTTGTTATGTTGTGTTTTTTTCTTGTACAAATAGGATTATTGCTATGTGTGGCGATTACTACATTGGTGGAAGACGTTTTTCTTCACTGTCAGATCTAATAGGTTATTACAGTCATGTTTCCTGTTTGCTTAAAGGAGAAAAATTGCTTTATCCAGTTGCACCGCCAGAGGCAAGTAAAACTTGAATAAAATGTCTTTCAAAATTTTATTATTTTATGTTACTAATTGGGTTAGCGCTTGTTCACTTTCTTGTGATGTTTATTTAATATAATTCAAGAAGTATTTATTGTATTAAATTTTATTTGTGGTTGTAGTATCAGAACAAAACTGACAACTTCTTTAAAAAATGAAAGAGTAATTTTGTTTTTAAGTTACCTGATTTTTTATAATGCTGTGTATGGTGATAGCCTAACAAATATTTTTCAATTAATGAGAGTAATTACTGATATCATAGTGCGAATGCTGAAGTTGCTTCAAGATTCTGAAATGCCTTCTATGTCATCAGAGAAAGGTTAATTTATATGTCATTTATAGCTTACTTCAAATTCAGTAATTGTTTATATTACTTGATAAAAACATATTAGTCATATGGTTAAAAGAATTTCTGTAAAAACAACAAAAACAAGACCAACATTTCTAGGCTTCTGGATACTTAGAGCCTCAGTAAAAAATAGTTTGAGTGATCCTGTAGAGTTTATAATGTGGATTTTTATTGGCTTTCACTTTGTGTGGATGTACCTGATTTGGCTTTGACATAAAAAGGTTATTTATCTATTGTAAATCATTTTTTATGGTTTCTAGCCAGTAGAAGATAGAAGGCGTGTTCGAGCCATTCTGCCTTACACAAAAGTACCAGACACTGATGAAATAAGGTATTTTATAGCATATTATCATTTGTCAGCATTTGAAATAGTCATTTGAAAGACTTTGAAAATTTATTGCTCTTGGACCTAAAGGTTTTGGAATTTGAGGAAAACATGCAGCAAATTAAAAATGCCTTTAATATTGAGCCATTGTTCCAGTATTCCTGTGTTGGCTTATCTGTTCAGACTGGATTTGGGATCAGAGTGGCCACTGTGAAGATGACAGGAGAAATAGCTTAGCTGTTATTAGACTATCTCTGACAAAGTAAGGAGAGTTCTGTTATATGCTCTACTGTATTTTAATTTTTATTACTATATGACATTTATGTCTCAACTATAAATGTTACTCAATAATTAAACTTCCATTTTACATGATGGGTAAATAATTTTAAATGTCATTAATGGTATAGAACACAGTAATTTTTTGTTTTTATTGTATCTATATAATTTGACTTACATAATTTGATAATTATCAGCGTGTTTCTATAAGCTGTTTAATTTTCTAATAGAAAATTTGTTAATGGTAAAATTTTAAGGCTGCTTTTCAAGAACTGATTCTGATTATATAGTTTTCATTAAAATCAACAGCAGCATTTAAAATATAATGATAACTTTGAGGGGTACTAAAACATTCTGGAAATGTAATTTTTTATAAAACAAAGATTCAGGTATCAGGAATCTCAAAATGGGAATTTCATTTTTATATGATTGTCCTCAAAATAACAACCTCTTATTTAGTTCTTATTGGCACACCTTTATTTGTGATTTAAGCTGAAAAAGTCAATTAAAGGAAAATAAGGGAAGAAATGTATATAATAAAGAATAGCTGTAGGGCCGGCCGAGTGGTGCGATGGTTAAGAACTGGCTTGGGACGCCAGAGGGCCC